GTTATGATCCACACAGTCAAATGCCTTTGCATGGTCAATAAAACACAGGTAAACATCTTTCTGGTATTGTCTGCTTTCAGCCAAGATCCGTCTGACATCAGCAATGATATCCCTGGTTCCACATCTTCTTCTGAATCCAGCCTGAATTTCTGGCAGTTCCCTATTCATATATTGCTGCAGTTGCTTTTGAATGATCTTCAACAAAATTTTACTTGCATGTGATATTAATGATATTGTTCAATAATTTCTGCATTCAGTGGGATTACCTTTCTTGGGAATAGGAATAAATATGGATCTCTTCCAGTTGGCTGGCCAGGTAGCTGTCTTCCAAATTTCTTGGCTGAGACCAGTGAGCACTTCCAGTGCTGTATCCATTTGTTGAAACATCTCATTTGGTATTCTGTCAATTCCTGGAGCCTTGTTTTTTGCCAATGCCTTCAGTGCAGCTTGGACTTCTCCCTTCAGTACCATGGGTTCCTGATCATAGGCTACCTCTTGAAATGGTTGAGCATTGACCAATTCTTTTTGGTATAGTGACTCTGTGTATTCCTTCCATCTTCTTTTGATGCTTCCTGTGTCGTTTAATATTTTCCCTGTAGAATCCTTCAATATTGCAACTCGAGGCTTGAATCTTTTCTTCAGTTCTTTCAGCTTGAGAAATGCTGAGCATGTTCTTCCCTTTTGGTTTTCTATCTCCGGCTCTTTGCACAGGTTGTTAAAATACTTTACTTTGTCTTCTCAAGCTGCCCTTTGAAATCTTCTGTTCAGCTCTTTTACTTCATCATTTCTTCCTTTCGCTTTAGCTACTCAACATTTGAGAGAAAGTTTCAGAGTCTCTTCTGACATTCATTTTGGTCTTTTCTTTCTTTCCTGTCTTTTTAATGACCTCTTGCTTCACTGTCTAATTCTTTTCAGAAGTAGACTGCCGGGTCCTTCTTCCTAGTCTGTCTTAGTCTGGAAGCTCAGCTGAAACCTGTCCTCCATGGGTCACCCTGCTGGTATCTGAATACCAGTGGCACAGCTTCCAGCATCATAGCAACACACAAGCCTGCAAAGTATGACAAACTGACAGACGTGTGGGGGAACTTTGGATTAGGCAATGCTTTCTTGGATACGACACCTAAAGAACCAGCAACCAAAGAAAAAATAGATAAACTTGACTAAATCAAAACTAAAAACTTTTGTGCTTCAAAGAACACTATTAAGAAAGTGAAAAGAAAACCCACAAAATGGGAGAATATATTTGCAAATCATATACCTGATAAGGATGTAGCATCCAGAATATGTAAAGAATTCCTATAACTCAACAAAAAAAAGAAAACCCAATTGAAAAATGGACAAAGGATTTGAATAGACATTTCTCCAAAAAAGATATATAAATGGCCAACAAGCACATGAAATGATGCTCAGTGTCATTAGTGAAATGCGAATCTAAACCACAGTGAGACACTACTTCACTCGCACTAGGATGGCGATAATGAAAAAGACAGATAATAGCAAGTGTTGGTAAGGGAACTGGAACCCTCATACACTGCTGATGGGAATGTAAAATGGTGCAGCCACTTTTGGAAAACAAGCTGGCAGTTCCTCAAACGGTTAAATACAGAGTTACTATGTGACCCAGCAATTCCCCTCCTAGGTATATACCCCAAAGAATTGAAAGAGGCAACTCAAACTGACACATGTACACCAATGTTCACTGCAGCACTATTCACAATAGCCAAAAGGTGGCAACAACCCAAATGTCCATCAACAGATGATGGATAAACATAATGGGGTATATACATACAATGGACTGTTACTTGGCCACGTAGAAGAATGCAGTTCTGACACACACTACGACACCCGTGTACCTTGAAGACGTGATGCTGAGTGAAGTCAGTCAGTCACAGAAGACCACACTCTGTACTGTCCCACTCACGTGAAATGTCCAGAACAGGTAAATCCAGAGACAGAACGTAGACCGGTGGTCAACAGGGGCTGGGGCGAGGGGCCCTGGAGGTGACTGCTAATGGGCTTCTGTTCGGGGGTGATGAGAATGCTCTGGAATCAGACAGCGATGATGGTTGCCAACCTCATGAGCATACTAAATCCCACTGAGTTGTACCCTCGAGAGGATGGCGTTTTTGGCACATGAGCGACACCTCTACTAGAGCTTGGTGTAAGCAGTTCAGAGAGCTCCCCATGGCGCTCACCCTGCTGGGCGCCACGAGGCCCTCGATGCCAACCAGGTCCCGCTGCAGCTCCCTCAGCTTCTGCAGGTTTTCCAGGCGGACGAGGCTATGCCGGAGTGCAGATGTCACCTCTGTGGTGGCCGTCAGCGCATCTGTGGGAGACACCGTGGGTGACACGGATGGGCATGTTCAGAGGCATGTCCCATCAACCCCTCCACAGGCCACTGCTCCAGGCTCGGCTGCTGGCTGCCCCCGGGAACATGGCTGTGCACCCCGACGGCCACTGCGGCACTCAGGCCTGGTCAGGAGGAGGGCAGTCTTTGTGAGGAACTAAACACTTCTTCTTCAGGGAAAGCACTGACTGCATTTCAAAGGCCACATAGTTTGCAGCTGAAAAGCAACTGAAATAACCCTCATTGGATGGAGACGCGGATGTGAATTTTACAGTTGCAGCAAAGACGTGAAAGTTTGTAACCAGGAAGGGAACTTACTGAGACTAAACATAAAACCAGACCTGAAGTGCCACCAGCCTGGCCCAAGAGGCTCTGCAAAGTGGCTGCAGGCTGACCCTGTGCTGGCTGGCGTCCTGACCCGGTGCCATCCCTACCCTCCCTGTGGGAAGCACTCAGCTCTGATGGCAATCTGGTCATGCGACCCCACGCCTGCCCAGCTCTGTCCCCTAAGTAGAGGTGACAGCCCTGCCCCACAGCCCTAAGAGGATAAGAAAGATCAGAGCAAAGTATGCAGTGGGGGGATTCACCCGACAGGGAGTGTGCTGGGGAGGCCCCGGTGTCTGAGCGCTGCCGCTCACAGACCACCGGCCCTGCCCTGCGTCTCCCCCCGCCACCCTGCCCCACCCTGGCCTCCCCTCAGGGCCCACCAACCCAGCCTCCTCCTCCAGGACGCCTGGCTTGTCCCTGCACAGGGCCCGCCCACATTTCCGCCAAGGACAGGCCTGATGCGGCCATGATTGCTGGTGCGCGTGTCCACGGAGTCTGGGCAGAAGGCCAGATGGCATTGCGGGCTCACGCCAAACCTGGGCTAGCGCTGGGAGTCAGCCGGACACACAATCAGACATGTCACCTGATGGCTCCGACCCTCCCAGACCTAACACACCCTTGTCACCTAGGGAGCGCCAGGCACTGCCCTTGGGACCCCTAACTGAAATGAAGGATGAAGTGAAAATGCAAGGCCATCTTCTCTAATCAAAAACCAAACCTGTTGCCGTGGAATCAACTCTGACTCGTGGTGACCCCATTTATGCAGAGTAGAACTGCTCCATAGGGTTTTCAAGGCCATGACCTCTCGGCAGCAGATCACCAGGCCTGTCTTCTGAGGTGCCTCTGTTGTTGTTAGGTGCTGTCAAGTTGGTTCTGGCTCAGTGACCCTATGCACAACAGAACAAAACACTGCCCGGTCCTGCGCCATCCTCACAATTGTTGTGTTTGAGCCCATTGTTGCTGCCACTGTGTCAATTCACGCTGTCAAGGGTCTTCCTCTTTTTCACTGACCCTCTACCTTACCAAGCATGACATCCTTCTCCAGGGACTGATCCCTCCCGATACATGTCCAAAGTATGTGAGACGAAGTCTCGCCATCCTTGCTTCCAAGGAGCGTTCTCGCTGTACTTCCTCCAGGACAGATTTGTCCGTTCTTCTGGCAGTCCGTGGTATATTCAATATTCTTCGCCAACACCATAATTCAAAGGCATCAATTCTTCTTCGGTCTTCCTTATTCATTGTCCAGCTTGCACATGCATATAAGGTGACTGAAAATACCATGGCTTTGGTCAGGTGCAACTTTGTCCTCAAGGTGACATCTTTGCTTTTCAATACTTTAAAGAGGTCTTTTGCAACAGATTTGCCCAATGCAATGCATCGTTTGATTTCTTGACTGCTGCTTCCATGCGTGTTGACCAGGCATCCAAGTAAAATGAAATCCTTGACAACTTCAATCTTTTCTCCGTTTATCATGATGTTGCTTATTGGTCCAGTTGTGAGCATTTTTGTTTTCTATGTTGAGGTGTAATCCATACTGAAGGCTGTGGTCTTTGATCTTCATCAGTAAGTGCTTCAAGTCCTCTTCATTTTCAGCAAGGAAGGTTGTGTCATCTGTGTAACGCAGGTTGTTAATGGGTCTTCCTCCAATCCTGACACCATGTTCTTCACACAGTCCAGCTTCTGGGATGATTTGCCTAGCATACAGGTTAAATAGGTGTGGTGAGAGGGTGGGTTCAAATCACCAACCTTTTGGTCAGCAGCTGAGACTTGGCCATGTGTGCCAGCAGGAACTCCGTGTGTCTTCGCTAAGCCCACCTAGCATGCCCCTTCTGTCTGACCTAGGCTGCGTTCTCAGGGAGGTGAAGCGACCGGTAACACGTGCACGCTGAAGGGCCTTCCCCGTGGGCAGGGCACCACACAGAGGTCGTAGGGGAGGGGGCCCTGACGGCTGTTGTCAGTGAGAACTAGCCTTGTCGACTGGGCTTGCCAGTTCTCCAGGATGACGGAGTCTGAAGCGAGCCTGCCGCGGCCACAGCTGCCCATACCGTGCTGTGCTAACAACATGCAACGGCTCTCATAAACAGGGTCCCATCCGGCCCCTGCACCAGCCCCGTGAGACGGGTTTTCTGGATGGGGAAACTGAGGCCGGGTGAGGTCCAGTGACTTGCCCACGGTCACATGCTAGCCAAGTGCGGCACAGGCATGGCTGGCCCCTCGGACCTGCCCTCTGATCCCTCGTCCCGTCCCTCCCCACTTGGCCCTGTGCCCCTGGAACCTGGGCCCCTTTGTCTGGGTACCAGTCCACCCCACAGCTGTTTTGGGTCTGGTGACAATAGGAACACCTAGCCATGTTTCCTGAGAGTGGTTGGAGATGCTTTTGACAGCCCTGTCCTTTTCACTTAGCAAACACAGAAGAGGAAGAGAACTGCCAGCATGGTGAGGTCTGTGCCGGCGCACACGTCACAGAGCACCTTCCCCGTGCCCTTCATGGCCGCGGGAGGACAGAGAGGAGGTGCTCGATGTGCTCTCACCTGGGTCTTTTAAAGACAACTGTCACTCTGCTTGTAGATCTCTCTCAATTGACAGCCACTTCCTGCAGTACGTTTACACTCCACCACCTGCCGGTCAGTCTGTGCTGCTGTGGGGGCTCGTGTGTTGCTGTGATGCTGGAAGCTATGCCACCGGTATTTCAAATACCAGCACGGTCAACCATGGTGGATGGGTTTCAGCAGAGCTTCTGGACTAAGACAGACTAGGAAGAAAGGCCTGGCAATCTACTTCTGAAAATCAGCCAGTGAAATCCATATGGGTCACAACAGAAAACTGACACAGTGCTGGACGATCAGCCCCTCAGTTGGAAGGCGCTCAGCATACACAGGGGCGGCAACAGTGGACTCGAGCACACGAGTGACCGTGAAGATGGCGCACGACTGGGCTATGTTTCATCCTGTTATCCGTGGGCTGGCCAGGAGGTGGAGCAGACTCGCTGGCAGCAACAACACAACAACATTCACCCCGGAATCAGAAGGCATACCTGCAGGTCAGGAAGGCCAGAGCTCTTCCCTTGTCCCTTTAACACCAGTCAAACACGACAAAGCCCGTCACTACCAGAAGCTTCTAACGGGCCCTCTGGCCCACACCCGGGTGGCTCTGGAGCCAAGGCCTCTGGCCTGGGTGCTCGGCGCCCCCGCCTGCGGCAGCCCACTCACCACGGCAGCCGGGGAGGTCAGGGTGGCCGGGTGGGAGCTGTGCGCACAGCCGGGCCAGCAGCAGTTGGTAGTGCGCTAGCCGCTGGGTGGGCTTGAGCAGGAAGGAGTTGAGCGGCAGGTAGCAGACTTTCTGCAGCTCGAAGTCCCTGTACACGGCCTCCAGCTTCTTTGAGCGCCTGGTGGCCTTGTCCAGCTCAGTCAACACCTCGTCGTGCCTCTGAAAGCAGCCGGTGAATTCCTGTTGAGGCACAAGGGGCTCTGCTTAGCCAGTGGGAGGGCACGTGTCCCCCTGGACAGGCTCCCAACATGCACCTCACAGCCTTGAGCTGGAGACCTCCGTGAGTGGACAGGACTACAGCCCAGTGTGCAGGCAGACACTTCTGACTCCAACGTGTGGAGTCAGGGGCTTTTCCACAGCTCCCACTATGGCGCCCACCCCCTCTCATGAAGTGAGGGGACCAAGGGCCGCTCACCCATCTACAGATGGAGATGCTGAGGCCACGACCCTCCCCCAGCCCCATGTGGACAGAGCAGACGCTGAGCAACTTTGCTCTGAGCAGTGCTACGGGGTGGTGTGGACCCAGTTCTCAGAGCCAGGAAGTAACTCCCGCCATCTGCCAACACCGTGAGTCTGTACACACGTGGGCTCTGGCCGCCGCATCACGCCAGCTGAGCCTGTCACCTCTGGAGGCCTGGGACCCCCTGTGGGACTTCCTGCTGGCATGTGTTAGGGAAGGGAAATGACCCTGTGGTATGATGTGTTTGGGCGAGCAGACAGATCTGCACAGCTTCACCTTAAATTAGTGCCAGTGCTTCTGTGGGAGTCAGGGATCATTCCTAACCACTGGCTCAGAAATCCAAGAGGTTGGTGGGGACAGGAGCAGGGGTCCAAGCAGGTGGCGGTGCTCCGGGGAATCCTAGGTCTGGGGTGTGGCCCAGGGCTGGGGACACGGGCAGGCCGGGCGAGTGGGTGCAGTGGCGAGGGCCTGGGGCTGGGGATACGGGCAGGCCGGGCAAGTGGGTGCGGTTGCAAGGGACCAGGGCCCAGTATCATGAGTGGGCACTCCAGTCACCGTGCAGGACGCCGTTGCTGTCTGGGTGAAAATGCGTGGAACACGCACGGTGGGAGGCCTGTCCCAGGCCGTGAAAACACCCACCCTTCTCGGTTTAGATCCGGTGGCAGGACGAGCATCTGCTCACGGAACTACGAGGTTTGAGAGGAACAACCTGAACCACCTGTGGCCCAGCAGCAAAGGGAGCCCTCGCGTCCCAGACACCAACGGCAGGGACTGTGGCGGAGCGGTGACCGCTGTGCATCGGGGGGTCGCCCCACAGCCCTCAGCGCCCATGCTCGCTCTGACACCAGGCACCACGGGGGGTCGCCCCACAGCCCTCAGCACCCACGCTCGCTCTGACACCAGGCACCACAGGGGGGAGGTCACCCCACAGCCCTCAGCGCCCACGCTCACTCTGACACCAGGCACCACGGGGGGTCGCCCCACAGCCCTCAGCGCTCATGCGCGCTCTGACACCAGGCACCACGGGGGGGAGGTCACCCCACAGCCCTCAGCACCCACGCTCGCTCTGACACCAGGCACCACGGGGGGGCGGTCACCCCACGGACCTCAGCGCTCATGCGCGCTCTGACACCAGGCACCACAGGGGGTCGCCCCACAGCCCTCAGCGCTCATGCTCGCTCTGACACCAGGCACCACGGGCGGGAGGTCACCCCACAGCCCTCAGCGCTCACGCTCACTCTGACACCAGGCACCACGGGGGGGAGGTCACCCCACAGCCCTCAGCGCTCATGCACGCTCTGACACCAGGCACCACGGGGGGTCGCCCCACAGCCCTCAGCACCCACGCTCGCTCTGACACCAGGCACCACGGGGGGTCGCCCCACAGCCCTCAGCACCCACGCTTGCTCTGACACCAGGCACCACGGGGGGTCGCCCCACAGCCCTCAGCGCTCATGCTCGCTCTGACACCATGCACCATGGGGGGGGCATCACCCTACAGCCCTGAGCACCCACGCTCGCTCTGACACCATGCACCACGGGGGGGGTCACCCCACAGCCCTCAGCGCTCATGCTCGCTCTGACACCATGCACCATGGGGGGGTCATCACCCTACAGCCCTGAGCACCCACGCTCGCTCTGACACCATGCACCACGGGGGGGG